TTAATGTTTAGCAGATGTTTACACAAGCAAACAGTGCATTTGGTATGGGTTTATTATCTAACAGTTGGCACTGATTCAAAGTAAATGACACAGTTTGTGTTTCTGTAATGGAAGAACATGCCACCCAGTGCAGCTACCTGATGAGTTTTTGGACAGCAGGATTTGCTGCAGTATATTACAGCGGAGGTGCCCTGACTAAATAAAGTGCACCTTAAATGATGAAATAATAGGAAATATTTTAAGATTCTGGGAAAGCAAGCAGAGCTACTAATTCACATGGCAAAAGCCAAAAAGGAGTGGGGCAAAGGTTTAAACTATCAACTACTTAACAGAAAATGAGATGTGATGTATCAGAATCAGTTTGACTCAACACAACAGATGACACGGAGTGATTGATTACATTGGATGTTTGATTTACTGTAATTATTAATCAGAGCAGCATTTTAAGATCTGAGATTCAGAAGCTGGAGCGGATCGTCCCCTAACTGTAGGATCAGCGGTTCAATCGCAGGATTTTCTGGGCCACATGTGCTTGGACAAGACTCGAAAGCCCAAGTTGCTCCCAGTGATATCACTGTTGTCTGAATGTTGTGTGACTGAATGAATGACTGGAAAAATAATGCAAAAGTACTTTGAGTGTGCCTCTGTGCATAGAAAATGGATTTACAGTGGAAAAAGCTTTGGCTTTAGATACATAGGAAGTAGTTAGTTGTATTCATTTGATTTTGGTCTTTCACAAGATTTGTTACAGTCTGGCTCTTCCCCCTTGCTGCTTGGGAACATTTAATCCCCTCTTAAATTTCATATCCTTTTTTGCAACCACTGAGAATTTGTCAGATGTTAGTTTTACTTCATGTGTCACATGACATTTGCCTATCGCTTATAGCTATTACAAAAATGATATGTGGTATATAAAAGCTGAAAATCATGTTTGTGTTTCTGTAACTTTTGGTGCCAAATCTAAACTTCACTATCTCAGGCAGAATTTCAGTTTTATTGTTTTTGTGATCTGACCCCAACTCTCAGTGAAATGGGTGCCCGTATGTTTTAGCCTCCTGGCATGGCTGGTAGTGGACTAGGCCACTAGAAAACATTCTGTACTTCAGGTGTAGAAGGTTAAAAACACATTACAGCAAGTTGTTTTCCCCTCTCGAAAGTCAATGATTAACACAGAACACTCTGTGATACTGTAAAGTAAATAATTAATTTTGATAGAGGATGTTTTTTCTGTTTATAGTTGTGATTAAAAACTCATAAGAACAACATGTAAATACTGTTTTGGCTGTGCTGTTTTTTTCTAAATCTGAAGATTGTAATTATGTGTTTGTATGAATTTATATTAGTGGCCCAGTTTATACTTTAGGTCAGAATGAACCCTTTCAGGGGACTGCGGTCCAAACATTGAAATTACTCTGAACTTGTTTTGATAATTAACATGTACTGTATAAGCTGTAATTTGTAATCTCTTGATGTGAATTAAACAATTTTGAACTAAAAAAGGAAAGTGGATGATTGGTTTTTGTTAATTTTGCTGCACATTATATTTTAGTGGCAGTGGTAATGCACACTGATGAAAACATCTGTTTCCTGGTCATTCCCCACAGGTTTCAAGTCAACACAGATATGACCAATGTTTTACAAAAAAACATTTCCTTTGCCGAGCTTGTGACAGAATGTTACAACGGACTCTTCTAGACTTGTTTGTGAGGTCCTGTGTCTTCCTCCTCCTCTCTGTTGGTGGATATTTTGGGAACATTATTGCATTATCCATTTTTTCTTCTTCCTGGTGAACTAATCTGATAACAAGGCAGTGTTTCACCCTCGCAGGACATTTTTGTGGTCTAATGTTAGAATGATGAGAAATGTCCTAGTTCCTCCTTCTGAATACTTTGCTTTCTTGAAAGTTCTCTCGGCTGTGTTAAATCACAAAAAGCTTTTTCCAGTTTTATTCGTTGTTTTAATGGAAGTTGTGTAGCATTATCACGTCAGACCAATCATCTTTGTGTAGCAAAACCACATTGTAAAAATACTGTTACAAGTAAAAGTCCTACTGTTATGGTTGAGTCCCCCTCACCAGGAGGGTGAGGGAGAACCGAGGTAGGACTCAATGTGCACACCCAGGTGCTAGTGAAAACAGGTGGTTTAATGGTAGCAACATAAACAAAGTAACGGAGTCAATGCATGTATGCGACCAGGTTTGGACAGTTCAAAAACAGAGTAGGGCTGTGACGGCTGAGGAGACCCGGACAGACAGGTGAGTAGACAGACTAATGGCAGGAACCAGGAGAATAGGAGGATCAGGATGGACAGGTGAAAAAAAGAGTGGCGAACGTACCAACATCAACAGCACAGGAACTGTCAGCGTTGATCCCAATAGTGTCTAAGGGAAA